TAAAGGTTACCATTTAACAAAATACTTTTCAGCAAATTATTTAATCAATTAGTTCTTAATTGCTAACGGATGCTTAATAAGTCCGATGGCCTAATAATAAGCAGCAATTATCCTGTCTTATAGAAACTCATTAAATACATAATCATAGCTATATTTTTAAAAGAATCTAATTACATGGTTCCTGCTAACACTGTTATAAAGTGATTGTAATTCAACTAGATGTACCCATCACCCTATTCTTGCACCTGAGTAAATATGTTTTCAACAACTTGGTATGGTTTAAATAATGTACAAAAGGAGTCTTATTGCAGGAGAAGATGAGTGCACAAGGTTTGGATTTATTCTAGATAGCTCATCAATGTCTGATCAGCTGTTCAATTAAGCTCTAATCCTTTATTGTATTGAGCACCTTGAACTCCAAGATTAGCCACAAAGATGCAGGAGAATAAATCTTAAACCATCTCAAAATAGGCAAAGCCCTGTAGGGATGTTAGATAGCATGTAATTGAATAGTTGTGTAACCACATGGATTTTTAGCGACTACACAACTATTTTATAGTCCCCAAAGGCAGGGCTACCAGCCAGTGTGCTCCAACCCCACTCCCAGGGAGCCCCTTGCCACCCCAAACTGTTGCCTCTCTATCAAAGGTAGCAGCATGGGGTGCCAGGTGGAAGTTGGTCCATAAGGGGAGCAGTTGAAAAACTGGCTTCTCACACAGACGGCTCTCTCCTGCTGCCCTGTGTTGCTATTGCTGCCTCTGATACAGTGGCAGCAGCCCCTGTTGATGGGAGGTCTGAGTTTCCCACAGACAGAGGCTGCTCCGGCATCCCATGGAGTAACTTCTGTCCAGGGTGAGCTTGGTCCCCCTCATCCCCCCGCAAACAGGGGCTGCTTCTGTGTACCCTCACGCTGCTGCCTCTGATAAAGGCAGCAGCACGGGGTGGGAGGAGGGACAGCACTGTGGAGCTGGTGCCAGGAATCTGGCTTTTAAGCACTAGCTCCCCTAGAACCAGCTCCTGCCTGCCACCCTCCACATCTGTAAGAGGGAGAAAGGGTGGGCACGCGGATCGGTGGACCCAACATGTGTGGAGAGCCTAAGCCAGCTCCCTGGGCAAATTGGCTCCCACCTGCTCCCCTCACCCTCTGTGCTGCTGCCTCTCTGTCAGAGACAGTGGCGTGGGGGAATGGGACAGGCAAATCTGCTTGTGGCAAGCTGGCTTAAAAGATGGATCTCCCCAGGCACCAGCTCATGCCTTCCCCACCTTGCTGCCTCTGTTACAGAGGTAGCTAGTGTGGGAATGCATGTAGTCAACAGGGTTCACCGATAAGCCCAGGCTTATCAGTTAATTGTGTGCTTGTCTGCATGTCAACATCCCTAAACCAAGCCAGTTTTTAAAGAAGTGCTCAGTCTTCACCAACTATGAACGCTCCCAAACAGGTCTAGGCAGTTATATGCTGACTCCCCGATCACTGTAGCTCTGCTTTAAATGGGCTTGTATTCCAAGAACCAAAACCCCAGACCAAACGCAGGCACGGAACATTTCTATATCCCATTCAGAATGATTCTGCCAGGGCAAAGGGATAGAATGGAGAGAGGAAACCACAGAGTTGGAAGGAAGTGGGATAAATTCTGAGTCTTTAAAAACAGTTCTAGTTCTTTAAAGCAACCATGTGTTTCTCTCCTGTGTTTCTGTCCTGACGCAAGGGCCCAAGAAGTCCCTCAAAGAGTCAGGTTACACATCTTCAATTTCACACTGTGCGAAATGTGGAAATCAGTTCAGACGTACAGGAGGGCTATCATGTTTCAAGTAACTGCCTCAAGGAAATATGTTTTCCTCATGTAGATGTTACATCAGAAGCATAGTGTGTGACGATACATACTGAACTACTATAAAATACTAGCTATTGAGTCACTGACAAACTACATTATAAAATGGGGTTGGCATTTCCAAACAAATTGTACAATATTGTTTCAGAGGGATAGATGTATTACTCTGTATTTGCAAAAAACAACAAGGACACCTGTGGTACCTTAAAGACTAACATATATTTGGGCATAAGCTTTTGTGCGTCAAAACCACTTCATCAGATGATGCATTCAGTGGTTTTGACCTATGGAAGTTTATGCCCTAATACAGTGGACCCCAAACTTTTGGGGCTGCCGGGCGCCCGGAC